AAATAATTAAATAGTCCATTCCAACGTGCAGAGTGTTGACGATACAAAATAAATGTAGGAGTACACTCGAACAGAAAACGACTCCTCGCTTGCATTCACTGGTTTATTGGACCAATTGTAAAGTTTTGAAACTCTATTATCTCCCCTGAATAGAGTTTGCAGTGCCTTGTCATGCAAATAGCTTGCTTGCAAGGAACGTTTGGAAATTTTACGAACATTATTTTTAGTTTTTGTTGCATGCCATATTATATGTGGCATGCAACTTTCATATAGCTCTAAATTTCGTGTCGCGGTCGGTGAGCGGTGGTGAGCGTACCACTCACGTGGCAGATTCGTAAAATACGATAAATACCGAGTTTTACCAACGAGGATTTTCATGCCGGGTTTTCGTCGAGAAAACGCAAAGAAATATCGATTATTCGCCGAAAATTTACATAATTGAGCGTTTTAGAAAAATAAATCGAGGTAGGTAAAGCTTTACTGTTTTTAGCTTATCTTATATTCTGTTATTTGTTGTTATTTTGGAGCCGTTGTGCTCGCACTGATTTATATTTATCAATTATCAGGCGTTTATATTTACAAAGTGGCTATATCTACGGGTCCGTAAACAGACTTCGCCAGGCTATATTTACGGCACTCTATGTACCGAACCGGCACTATAAAGGCCTGATTCCACGAGCGCTTTTCTCCTTCACTCCTTCTCCGACTGATACTCACAATACTGGTGCAGTTCGCGGCGCGCGACGGCTTGGAACCCACGATTTTAATTAATTCATACGCATGCGTACTGACATCCTCTTCTTTCGTGGGCAAGCTTCGGTTTGTTTACAGTCAATTTCAGCTGACTTTTCACTCAAATGTTCCGAACTTCGTTCCGAACTTCGCAAATTCGTTGCCAAGTTCAAAAGTTTATAATGAAATTCACAAGCGGGTTTGTAAACTGGGCATTTGATTGGCTGGTTTGATTTAATAGCCAATCAGAGGCTTTGTTTACAAACCTGTTCGTGAATTTCATTATGAACTTTTGAACTTGGCAACGAATTTGCGAAGTTCGCAACGAAGTTCGGAATCTTACGGTGAAAAGTCAGCTGAAATTGACTGTAACTCACTAAATTCGCTTCAAAATCCTTCAAAAAAAGTCATCCATCCGGAACTAATTTCTCTATTTTATGCAAGAATGACCTCTGAAAAGGTAAGTGCTGAATATCGCAAGCTGTATTTATATTTTAAAAAGTTTTAGATCGAATAATTTAGGGTACTATGGTTATACGTCGCCTGATGGAATATTTTGATTATTTCGATGGAATATTTTGAGTATATCTCCTGCAGGTACCCATCTCGCAGGTAGATAAATGCATTATTCGTCTAGAGTACCCGCTCGACGAATACGTATGGAAAATTAGATACTAGTATATAATAGTATATACTTTACACAAATATTTGACCTATTATCCATACAATGTTTTAAAATGACCTGGTTTCCTGCAGGTACCCATCTCGCAGGAACCAGACAATATGCTCATTGAGGGTACCCGCTCTGATGATGCATCACAGGAGGCCCAGGCTCGATTTGCCCGCGCCTGCCTGTGCTTTCCTTATAACGAGGGAAGGAAGGAAACATTGAGACCAAAATAGCCCAGACTGGCATATGTCACACGAAACTATCCTCGATTTTTCGCCTTTAATGCATTTCTTTCACGATTAATCGATATCCCCTGCAAGAATGATACCGTATAACTCTCAAAACAACGATGCTTTAATCAAAGAGCTTAAATTCGCTCTGAAATCCGTGAGGGAATAACAAAATTCGCCCAAAATATATCCGCGTGCCGGGTTTGCTGGACAAAAAGCGGAAGTCGTTGAACAACTCAAAATGCATTCAACCCTGATTGGACAACGGAAATCAACAAACATTTCAAATTTTCAGTAGTCAGTAATTAATATAAATTTGAATCAAAACAATTAACAAATGTTGTCGGGGGGAAACCAGTACAAATCTAAATATTTAAATTTAAGAAGTTTAGTCAGTATAGTAACGTTTGTGAATTGTTTTGATTCAAATAATCAAATTATTACAGTACTGTTCCAAGTACTGTCCCCCTTCCCAGTGCCAGTGGAGAAAAATTTGAAATGTTTGTTGATTTTCGTTGTCCAATCAGGGTTGAGTGTATTTTGAGTT